ACTACGTATACGTAATACATGTCTCAGTCGATGAAGGTTCACAAAAGTATCCACTGACTCGTCTCCTCCCTGTAATTCTACACCTCGTCTGAGCTTTACCGATATGTTGTCACAGTGACACGCGACCCAAGCCACTAAAGCAACGGTTATTGAACGCTAGAAGCCTTCTCATGTTATTAACCTCTAAGGGGTATGTTTCATAGCCATACACTACAAAAGAGCAAATTTCAGTTGATTGACAAAGTCAGTGTGGAACTTTGCACATGAGTGCATTGGTTCAGGTTGTCACAATTCACAGTAGTACGCAAAGAGCAGGTAAGTAGAACAGGTAAGATATCAAAGTAGAGCCTTTAATAGGTCATCGGACGTCGCAGCGGGGCCAAAGATGGTAAAAGTCAGTCTAGCTTTCTGTATGCGTGCAGAAATTTCGTCGACCACTGACCCACCAGAGCTGGTTCGATTTTCCAGGTTAGTGAAGTGTTCAACGGATTCGACCACTTCATTCTATTGTTAGCGGGGGCGCCACTGAATACCAGTACCAGAGCACCAATTTGCACTTGGGTAGCGAGAGACGCATCCCAAACATTCAAATTGCCACTCAATATATCCAGAAAACTTCATTTTGTCATGGTCTTGACCTAAAAGGACTTTGTCATCTGTGTACTCTAGATTTGCCAAGGGTTCTCCTGTGATTAGATCAATCCTGGTGAAGTTGCATGACAGGAGGGAGACCTCCATAAGAACTTCTGTGATAGAAATGAACAGGAATGGAGGGAGTGGGCATACTTGACGAACACCACTCGATATTCACAGCTCAGTATAGACGCTCAAGGGTTGTCGAGTAAAGAACCTTCAGCAGAGTGACGTACTTACTCGTAACTCCTTAAGAGGAGTCGTCATCCGATGACAACTAGGGGTGTCCGCTGTCATCTCTCTTGTTTGACTTCATCGTAGACATACTAAAGGACATAACCTTAGGTATCTCCGACTTCACTAGGGTTGAGCTTATCTCTGGTTGACACCTGTTTGATTTGTTGTACGCAGAAGACATTCTCTTGTTGGGCGAGGATGCTGATAAAATGAAACGTCTTCTGAACATCATGAGCGAAAACGTGAGTAGGTTTGGCATAGTTTTTGGGCGTGTGACTGAAGGACAGTTCTGTAACCACTTCTGATTTAAGGATAGGCAGTGAAGTGGTTGAGTGTGTTGGCCACTTAATTTACTTGAGAAGATGCATTTACCCAAAGTGGTTGGTTGCTGACGAAGCCTCAACTTAGGTACGAAACACTTGTTTCACATTTGCCATCTACGTTGTGGAAGAGATACACAACCGCCTATTAAAGGGTCAGTATACTGTGCTGCAGTTCACTTTATCCTGTTACGCATGTGAGATGTGGTCGTTGAAGTAGAAGATATGGGGAGATTATAGGACTTAGACCACAGGTGTCTTAGTAGCGTCGCTCACGTATGTTGTAAGCTATAATGACAAGTTTAGGTTGTTATACATGACAAGTATTAAAATTTGCTAAGAATATATGATCCAACCGGTGAGCTTATGTTTCTAATGTGAAACCGACATGTAGGTATAGATGGAAAATGAAGGGACTAAACCAGTGAAAGGGCTTGCAAATCACTTTTCCTAAGAGCAACTGGATTGACTACATCTCTTGCACTTCTCTTGTTGGCAGTTAAGAAATATATTAATATCCTCTATTCTAATTAGCAGCTTAGGTTCTATTTTCGCCTGGAAGTAATCACTTAAAAGGACATCACCTAAATGTTTAAAGACCAAGGTATCTTTCTGGAAGTTTATTTCTTACCCAGTATCTTAAGCCAGTAGAAATCTTAGCCAGAATACATAGTTCTAACACCTGTTGATTGGTTGAAAGCGAGATTCGACCTCTGATGTACCGCAAATTGCGAGGAATTATATGTTAGTCTGTTCTGCCATCAGGATTCGGGAGAAATGTCCGACATCAGTTCGGTGTGGATATGACCTTAATTTGCTCTTAACATGCATGTGCAAAACGCATAGTCCTTACGTGCTCATTAGCTCTGGCTTATTTCTAAGTGGTGTTATTAATCAATATGACTATAATTGCCTCACTAAATTTCTCTAACCACCTAGAATATTTAGACGTTTAAATATTGAGAGAAAATTACAGTTCAATGCATTAGTAGGTGCTGAAGTATCTATCTACCATCCACCCTGTTCTGATTAAAAGACCGACTAACCTTCAAGCATCACCTTGAGTAACTGTGTCTAAGATATTTCAACAAATCAGATAACACTTTATGATACATCCAGAAATACTAGACAATAGAGTGGTCTTTATGATGAAGTGTTGAGTCGGTCAGGGTAATCACACTCACTAGCAAAACAGTCTGCAGGATCGATATCACCAATCTCTCTGCACATGGCATGTATGTTTTATCACTGATAAGTAAAATAGTTTTAGAAGAGCTTGTGGCTTCGCTAACTTTCGAAGCTGAAGTAGCCGAAGAGTTCTAGGTAGTGTTTCTGTTGTTTTGGGAGTAACGGTGGTGATTAAGTGGAAAATGTTCCATTCTAGTTGATTTGTTTGATATATTAACGTGGCACAAGACTATTTACTGGATTGCGTTTCGGACATAATTTGTCGTCCATAGTCCTATCAAGATAACTACACAACTTCCAGACATCCTGTATATAGTCCTTATTTCCTTATCTTCTCTGTGAAATGGGTAATAGGACTTTCCAAATGTCCGGAAAAGTGCTCAGTCATTCGTGTTGCATGTGTTAGGTGTTGATTCGATGAACAGAGATTCAACTATAAATCTCTACTTCCACCCTGCTATGTTGGTTTTAAGGATTTTCACCGTGTCCCATTCTATTGTGTGGTTGTGTGTAACTGCGTGCACAGTTATGACCGAGCTTTTGTCTAAATTCCTTATTTTACTAGGATCTACCAATTTTGAACTAGCTGGACTTTTGTGCTCGGATAGCCTAATTGCTCGTTGTCGATTACTTTCACCTATGTATTTGACCTCGCAATCGTTGCAAAGGATTCGTTAAACTAAATTATCCAACTGAATTGGATATGTGGGATCTTCTTATCTTTAAAGCTTATTTTTGGGTGAGTTTGTAGGCATAAATGTCACTTTAATCCCAGCCTTATGGATAAATTTAGGAAGGTAATTGTTGAAGAGCAAGGTGTTCTTAATGTGTTTGATTTCTTGCCTTAGATCTTTTGTTTTATCAGTAAGCTTTTTGGCCATTTTACTTAGACCTTTTACCAAGTCAACTTTAACTGACTTGGGGTTAGACGATTTGAAGTCTGAGTAGTGATTTGAGTGCGAAGTTTTTCTATAGACCCTAAGTAGAGAGATAAGCTTTGTAGGTTCAAAGATCCCACTGATCCAATAAGGCAAACTAATTTAGTTTACCAAATACCTTGCAACGATTGCGAGGTCAAATACATAGGTGAAAGTAATCGACAACGAGCAATTAGGCTATCCGAGCACAAAAGTCCAGCTAGTTCAAAATTGGTAGATCCTAGTAAAATAAGGAATTTAGACAAAAGCTCGGTCATAACTGTGCACGCAGTTACACACAACCACACAATAGAATGGGACACGGTGAAAATCCTTAAAACCAACATAGCAGGGTGGAAGTAGAGATTTATAGTTGAATCTCTGTTCATCGAATCAACACCTAACACATGCAACACGAATGACTGAGCACTTTTCCGGACATTTGGAAAGTCCTATTACCCATTTCACAGAGAAGATAAGGAAATAAGGACTATATACAGGATGTCTGGAAGTTGTGTAGTTATCTTGATAGGACTATGGACGACAAATTATGTCCGAAACGCAATCCAGTAAACAATCTTGTTCCTCTGTTCGATATATCTAATAAGGGAACTGAAATGGGATTGCATCCTACCGCAGTGCTGAAGTTTTGATCCCATATAATTAGTATCGTTGTGACATTTTCAAGTGCATGGCGCATCACTGCAGGTAGTTCTGCTCGCTACCGTTAAAAGCATAACTTTCTTAAGCCGGGAATGTATGATGATCAGTTCTGTCTCTGCAACGTTGTTCTCAATATGTAGCGACACTGCAAGTTTTTCAGGCGTCACGTGACCCGTATTTGAAGATAAAGGAGACCGTCATTTATTATGTGGTGCCCTACTGAAACATTGGCTTTCATGATTTGAAGATGCGTTATGGATTCAATTCCAGAGTTTCATGCGGTTCATTGTTTCCTCATCGTGGTTACAAAACGCTGGTCCATGATAGGTGCCTTGGAGAAGTTAGCTTCATGTCACAACTTGCTTGGATTTCACACATAAATCAAGCTTTTCCTCTGAAAGACAGCTCCGAATCGAAACCAGTGGGCATAATACTGCACCTCTAGCCCTATTTGTAATCAAAATGTAAGAAAAAGGTAGTGAACGCTCCTTGAAACCTATCGTATAAGACTCATTGTTTGATCGTTTTGACTTTTCTCCTCCACATACTTTCTAGGCTGCTATATTGTTTTGTGCAAGGGAATTTCTTGATATCCATGCTATAATAAGTTTATCTTTTGAATGAAGTAAAAGTCTAGATAATTTCACAATGTGGTGATTTAGATCCAAATGGAGCTCAGTTACACAATCTTTGTTCGTTGAGAAATATTTTAGCGTGATATGCAAATCGTTTTTCTCTAAGTTGGTTATTTTTATTGGGTGTAAACGTTCACTCGCCTGCTTTTGTGTAATTCCAAAGTATACCATGGAACGCTATGAACAAGTTTATATATGTTTTATAGGTAACTCATAGGCAAGTGACCTAGTGAAGTATGGCCATAAAGCTAGACAGTTGTCTGCTTTTTCCTTTGTGTGCAACTTTTGTGAATGAATATAATGAAAACAGTGTCCTACATAGTTTGTTGTGTTTCACTGTAGCCAACAACGGGAAATACCTGAGTTTTTTCCGGGGTCAAAACCTAAAAATAATTTACCCGACGTTACCAAATAGAAGTTGAATAAATTTTGTTTCAGTTTACATCTTAATCAAACTTCAGAAGCAGAGTTCTCTAATACCTTACGGAAAAACTAGATTCTCCCTTTTATTCACCAGTTTGAAAAGCAAGTTTTACTCGAATACTGCTTGTTGTTTCGGTTGAATTGTTAGTACAGTATCATTCATTGAAGTTTCTGAAAAAAAATTAAAAACAGACTCTAAGTTAATGGCATAATGAATAAAATCATAAATATTACTATTGGTTGGATTAATGTACAGTTATTTAGACTTATTAAGGAGACTGAGGGAAAAAGATCAACAACAGTTAGTGAGGCTATAGCGGAGAAGGACGGATCTGTGATTCACTCGCAGGGGAGACGACTGGAACGATGGGCAGAACACTTCGAGGAACAGTTTAACTGGCCTCCAGCCACCATTGCGTTGCCCGCTATCCAGTCGGACCCTGAATGGGACATAGAGACAGGCCCCCAACACTAGAAGAAGTTGAGAAAGCGGTAGGTAGCCTGAAACGAGGAAGGGCAGCAGGACCAGACGGACTACCTGCTGAGGTATACAAGAATGGTGGTAGAGTGCTCTTAGTCAGGTTAACGGAAGTGTTAGCCAGTATATGGGAATCAAATACGATCCCCTCCGACTGGTCTAAGTCACTCATCATCCCAGTCTTCAAGAAAGGCGAGAAGTCCTCTTGTGATAACCACAGAGGAATCAGCCTGAAGGACACAGTATCTAAGATCCTAAGTTCTATAATTCTCCGACGCCTGAGTGGAGCTCGGGAACAGCAAGCCCGAGAAAACCAGGCAGGCTTTAGACCTGGCCGTGGATGTATCGACCAAATATTCACACTGCGCCAGGTCCTGGAACATAGGCATGCTTACAGACGCCCGACAATAGCTGTATTTCTCGACCTGAAGGCGGCATTTGACTCCGTTGATCGAGAAGTCTTATGGCAATGTCTGTCACTGAAAGGCGTGCCTAGTAAGTACATCACCTTATTGAAAGCTCTCTACTCGAACACTTGTGGGCATGTTAGAGCCTATGGTGAGTTGTCCAGGGAGCTATACTCATCAAGTGGTGTCCGTCAAGGATGCCCACTATCCCCATTCTTATTTAATTTTATCATAGATATTCTTATGGAGGTTTCCCTCTCGTCACCTAATTACACAGACGTTGACCCGATCACAGGTGAATTTTCTTTAGATCTAGAATATGCAGATGACATAGTCCTGTTAGGTGAAGACGCTGACAAGATGCAGAGTCTTCTGAACACTTTGAGTGGGAATTTGAGAATGTTTGGGATGCGATTTTCACCACCCAAATGCAAATTTTTGCTCCAGGACTGGTCTTCAGCGGTACCGCGGTTAACAATAGAGAGTGAAGTGGTTGAGTGTGTTGACCACTTCACTTACCTGGGAAGTAGGATCAACCCTGGTGGGTTAGTTGCCGATGAGATTTCTGCACGGATACAAAAGGCTCGATTGGCTTTTGCCAATTTGCGCCACCTATGGCGCCGCCGTGATATTCGTTTGTCTATTAAGGGTCGCGTGTACTGCACAGCAGTCCGCTCTGTTCTACTGTATGGCTGTGAAACATGGCCATTGAAAGTGGAAGATATAAAAAGGCTTCAAGTGTTTGACCACCGTTGCCTTCGTAGTATAGGACGTATTCCGTGGTGTCACCATGTGAGTAATGCAGAAGTTAGGTGTAGAGTTTTAGGGAGAAGAGGTAAGTCAGTTGACGAGGTTGTGAACCTTCATCGACTGAGATGGTTGGGACACGTACTACGTATGCCTAGTCACCGATTGCCTCGTCACACAATGTTGGCTGAGGTGGGTCCAGGCTGGAAAAAGGCCCGAGGTGGCCAGACTAAAACATGGCACCAATGTATGAAGTCTCTGACTGTTGGTTTAAGCCATGTAGGACGATGCAGACTAGGTGGTTGGGGTCGGCGGGACAAGAGGAACCAGTGGTTGGAGACCCTAGGTGATATGGCTCAGAACCGAAGTCAGTGGCGCAGATGTATACACACATTATCCTCATCTTAACAACGCTATACCGAATCTCACCATTTTGTCACTCCTCTTTCCTTTCTTCTCGTACTTTTTATTTCTTCTGACTGCATTCACTTATCTTCATCCTTCACCTCACTACCTTTCTACTTGGTGAACTGACGTGAGGTGTGGCAACTCGGACCGTTACGCAGTAATGCCTGCTCCTATGTTGATAATGATTGATTGATTTTGGATTAATGTAACTTGATGTCTTCGGGTATCATTAGGCCAAGTATCATTTGTAAATTTAGAAAAATAGGATTTTTATTCCGTCCGACATCAAATTTGGTTTCGACAATTTCAGAGTTGAACGGAATCAGGTCGCTAATATAAAGCACTAAGCACTTTCATGTTTAATGTTGGTGATGAGATGAAATGTAGTAACCCAAAATGGCAGCACATTGTAAAGTCACGCTTCATTTAATATTGGGTATACTTGTCTATATTTTTTAGTGTACTGCAAATCTCATTTTACGGGCAATCGTCTAATGCACTCAAACAATTTGATCACTAATTTCGTCGCATTATTTTCGTGCTCAGTCCTGGGTTTACTAAGAAAGTAACACTGAATCATATTCAGTCGCTGTAATATATATATATATATATATATATATATATATATATATATATATATATATATATATAATACTCATCATGGACTGACATCAGTTGGGGAACCATTGAAAATTTGAGAGCACTAAAGAGCTGTTTCGCCTTAGTATGGGACTCCTCAGCAACGCCACCCCTGAGCTATTCGGGCTTCAAGAAGGTCAACTGTAGTCTCGAATAGCTCGCTGGTAACGTCACTGACTAACACTGGGTGGTGTGGGTTAAAACCTCAAATGGGACATAAGCTCCTACAAGGTTGCAGATACGCCTTTCTGGTGCGTCGAGAAACCTAGGTTAAGCATGACTACTTGCAGAGTGCCTTCAACCAACTAACATATATCAAAGTGCACCGCGATGGTTAACCTCCTCCTAGCTTGGTGGTCAAATTGCAAGGATGATTTATAGAATTCGGTTAGTGACCAGTAACCATTTAAGTAACGTGGTTGTAATTTCATCCAAATATTCGGCCTGTTACATCAAAGTCTGAGGTGTGGCAAGCAGATATGTGGCAGCAAAATTAAGCAATATCACGCATTTACAACTGTTATTGGATATTGTGACATTTTCAAATACAAGTTACGGTGAATGATCCTTTCAAACATTAATATTTCATTACTCATCCACTTTCTGGTTACTATTTCTATAGCTAAGTTATATTGTAATTAAAACTAGCATTAAAATGTGCTGAATACTAAAAACACGCAAAGAAAAACTCAGGCATACAATTTGGTCTTATGATGTAAACATCTGGTACACATTTCCATGACATGTCGGATATTCAATCACATTTTCATGGGGCAGTTGTTAGTTCCTTGAACTTCTTCATCTGTTTGACGCACAGAATAATAATGTAATACAACAACCACTTGATTATGTGTGTACTGAACTGTCAGCTACATCATCTTTGTGACAGCTAGTGCTGATACCTGGGTGCTGAAAAAGCGGTGGGAGAAGAGGCGCTTCGATGCATATTTGGATATTTAGAAGACAAGTGAACAAATCAACAAAACACAAACCTTATACTTATTCAAGTGGGTAAATGAGTTGTGGATTCGGAGTTAAGTATGCAAGATGATGATGGGGTAAATTAGTTTCTATCAGCAACAGATAAGTAGCTTTTTGTAGTGAGTAAACTTAGGTAAGTGTTTAGCCTTTTATTTTGCTTCAACCCAGTAAAGTTGGAGAAAGTTTTCCTAGCTATGGTTATATGATGGTCATTCTCACTCGGGTATTCACAACTAATTAATTTAGAGAGACTAGAGGAAAAAGACTTAGGTCACCGAAGGTTGGATATTCTTTCTTCACCTCAGGATTTTTACGATAGTGACCAACAGTACCTTTTAGGCACATTTATAAGCAATATGCGAACCCACACCCTGAACTTCATGCACATTTCAGTGTGGTCACCGAACCTGAATCCAACGGTCAGTCAACGGAAGTTATCGATTAAATTTTAAGATGCATTATTCTAATTACAGGATGTGAGGGTTACTTAGTAACCATTTTTACTCTAAAATATTTAAATACTGGGAATTCAAATAATATAGGTGGACAGTATATGGTTGGATAGTATCTACAATATAATTTTCAAACATTATGTAGAGTCAGCATAAAACACTACCTGACCAAGTAAACTTTCAGAAAGCATGCAGAAGGCATTGTTCACCTAAACGGAAGTCTTTAGAAGTTGAGGACAACAAAGAGTGCAATCTCACTAAGAACTTTTCAAATGGATGTCCTCTAGATATAATTTCGAAATCACAACTGTTTCAATAAGGCGGTGGTGGTTTTAATTTCTAAATGATATTTTATATTCGGTTATGCGTGAATTACATTAAAATAAAAAGGTAGACAATGGGATAATATCTAAGAGATTGAGGATGGATCTCCGCGTTTTCATTCCTGTTGTTTGAAATTACTGCCAATTCCGTTATGATGCACACTGATCAAAACATTAGCATGTGTTTTGTAAATAAGCCTATGCCATCTGTGGTATGCGCACTTTTCTAAAAGACAGCGTAGGGATTTCGAAGCACACGTCCAAAAACCAGTCATTAAGTAAAGTGGACGGTTTAGCATTCACAGTACCATTCACAACACTTGTGATTCCAAGAGTGAAGCGTAGCTTACAAGTACCTACTTTTTATCCGCAAAGAAGTCATGACATCGTAAAAAAGTTCAAACAGTTATGGTGATTTATTTCTTTTTGCGGAAACAAGTTATTATGATGTTAGTAATTTCCTGTAGCATCTAGAAATACTCAACTCCATATAGACAAAACAATTTCACAGATAGTGATAAAAGAGTTCGTTTCTTGTTGTTTTTTAAAGTGATAGGAAAAGCTAGGGGCCATTTACGTACTTACTTTCCAACTAACTATAAATCCTTGGACAGGATTGCAAACACTCTGAACCAAATTCATTAGAGTATTCTTCAAGATCGTCAGCAATTAAGCAATAAAGTAATGAATTTATCGCTGAGAAGGTTTCTGTGTTTATTTAAAAAAGCAAAGAAATGAAATATATGCACAAGGGTACAAGAACGTGTTAAACCCTGACGTACCTTCATGGAGCACGTTTGCAGACATGATATCTGCTTTCTCATTGTGGACTATATTTCGAAGTTCTGATGATTCAGAACGCCGGCAATGTGACGCTAATGGTCGAAATACTCGGTATCTCCTTGGTTCTGCCATCCGCTCAGTCAACTTCATGTTCTTATAAGCAAGTGCTAGTGACTGAACCTACGCGGAATATTGAAGGAGAATATAACAACTTTTACTTTTTTTTGGTTACAAAACAGGTCTGGCTCTGTTTTTAATTCCGAAGATGCAACGTTATCCTTGATGAATTTAGCCAGACATGACCTAGCATACACTGGTAGGGAAAATTGGTATTCTAAGTCGGTAGGATCGAAAGTTACGTCATCAACCAGTCTAAATAATTAAAAAGTAAAGTTGTAAATGGTACTTCTTTTGTGTAAGCAATTCATAGAGCAGCGTCAGAAAAATGAGCCCAGCATTACTTTTGTTGTGTACTACCCCCTCAATTACCTCTGGTGGTATAAAAATATTCAGTTTATGAAAAACCTAAACCAATAACCAGTAGTTTCTTAAACCTGTTGTATCAATTTCCAGTTGCGCAGTCTGACTTCTATACTTTGTCCATCAATGAATTTTCCAAGATCCACCACTTTCGGTTGGTAGTTATGAATAATTTCAGCTGCTAGGACACCATTCGACACATGCCTGCATTTTCGCTTGCTAGAGGTACACAATTTAACCAACCATTTAAGTTTTCTGTGGTGTAAATTTATGTTTAACGAAAGCAACCAACGTAACACTTCCCGTGGAATCCCCGCCATAAAGTTGCTATAGTATCCAACGTTTGCTTAACAAGCTTGTGTAAACCAGTTGGTTTCTTCATGCTCTCTTCTAGGTCTTGCTGAACAGCTCCGGGTCTTTGGTGGATTTAGACGCAGTAGTTCCACCCATTGGCCTTCTTTAGCTCACGTTTACCTGGCAGGTGGTCGGATGTTAGCTGGTTTGCCTGAGACTGTGGTGCAGTTAGATTTCTTTTAATGTTGATGTCTTCAAACTGGCAGTAAGAGGGAGTAAGGGATAGTGAGCAGAAAACCAACGAAGACAAGTGTGTGTGAGTAACAGTGAAGTGATGGATTGGTCAACGTACACCCAAGTAAGACGTGATGGGTGCAAAGATTTGCAGAACCTCGATGAGCGAAGTTAAATCATAACGAGAAAAAGGGAGAAAGAGACCAAGTGACTGCAGTAGAAAAGCAGTTGGTGTAGAGACGATAGTGTTGGAATGGTGTAACAGAAGTTGGTTTCTTCGGCTTAGTCCATAAACCATGAGTCACTAAGTAACTATCTAGCCTTCCCTTGAAACAATCGACAGCTAGGGCTGGGGTCACCCCTAATGGTAATGCATTCCAGCTCCCCGACACGCTTACGAGCTTCTGATCTCTGTTGGGCAACTCTCTTTTGGTTTCCACGTGGATCATCATACTGGCCATTCGGTGATATATCTCTGTTTGAGTAACATGGGTTACTTGTCACCTTGTAAGGCATCATCAGATCACCCCGCCACCTTCGATGGCTATGAGAATACAGGCCCGAGTCCCTTAGTCTACCGTCGTACGCTTCTTGGTGCATCCATACAACACTCCTCAGGGCTCCCTCTAGGAAGTTTTCGCCTCCTTCCGGGCGTGATAGAGAGGGGAGGTCATGGATCTCCAAGTGACGTCGCATTTAGGTCTTGTAGAGTTCCAGAAGGAGCTATGGGTTGAGGGCACATAGGTGTTCAGACACAAAATGCAGTACAGCGTGTGCTTTTGAGATATCTTCGAGGTAATTGCAACTGGTAATCAGACAAAATGCAGAGTCATTATTTTTCTTCCACCCAAACAGTGCTCCTAGATCATCCCGTAGTGCATTCGATTTTGATTTGCATGCCACCATCCTCCATAACTTGTCTCAGTCAGCTCAGAAGGGAGTCGGAGAACTATTGTGCAGTTGGAGGTAGGTCACCGGTGGTAGTAACGACAACGGACTTGGAATTGCTCATTGTGATACACCGGACGATGATGTTCTGTAGGTGGAATGGGCCCTGATCTCAAAGTAGTTCCGCAGCCACGACACCTTCTGACCGCGGATACACAACTGGCTGTTTTGTGTAACAGCATTGCGTGTTGGACCACGTCAAAGGCTTTGTCAGTCCTGAAAAATCGCCGGAACCGGGGCTCTGAATTACCAGCATGTTCTTAAGTGGTCATGGGTTGTCAGGAGATTGAAGGCACAGGATCTACCCTTTCTAGAGCCGTGTTTAGAGCCACCAATTGCCCGCTCTCTGTCCAGGTATTCCTTGACGTGATTGTCCGTCATGCCTCTCATAACCCTCAAGATTATTATTAAATATGCTGTTGGTTCGTAATAGTTCGGGTTCTGCCCGTCGCATTCTTTGAAGATAGAAGGGAGAACGGTGGGTTTTCGCTCCCGTAGAAGCCTCTGTTCATGTAAAACGAGTTCAGTATCCAATATCTTTTTAACGAGCTTGTGTAAACCAGTTGATTTCTCCTTGCTTGCTTCTTGGTCTTGCGGAAACGTTCCAGCTCTTTGGCGGATTCCGATGCGGTAGATCCAGCCAATCGTCTGCTGTAGCTCCGATTTGCAGAACAGGAAGTTAAGTGTTGGTTTGTTTGCCTTGGACTGTGGTGCAGTTGGCTTCCTAAGATGTCGAGCTGCCAGACAGTTGTTCTGGCTGATCGCTAGAGAGATTTAGGGATAGTGAAGAGAAAACCTAGAGATTGTCTGAGTGAGTAAAAGAGGAGAGGAAAAGTAGTAGTAGTCTACTTACACCCAAGTAAGGTGAGTAGGGGTGCAAAGGTGTGAAGAACTTAGGTGAGTGGGGCTAACTTATAGCAAGTGGAAGGGGTGAAAGGGGCTTAAATGGTTATGATAGAAAGGAAAATGGTTGGGCGGCTTGACATGACTTCGTATTCTAGCTATGTGTGTGTAGATCGTAAGTCTCTGCGTGACTGTCTGGCCTCTTCTTGAAGCTTTCAACAGTTGGGGCGGAGACCACCTCTGCTGGTGGTGCTTTCCAGTACCCGCAGACTCGGAAGGAGAAGAACTGTGAACGCACATGAGTTTTTGACCTTTGGTGGGCTATTCTATTGGTGTTTCCTCGAGGATCTCCGTAGCGGCCACTCGGTAGAATTCCTCTGCTTAGGTGACCTGGGCCAGTCATTATTTTGTAAGCCATTATTAAGTCGCCACGTATCCTTTGATAGCTTAGAGAGTATAGGCCTAGGTCTTTCAGTCTATCCTCACATGGTTTTCGTTGCATTCCAACAACCCCTTTTGTGGCTCTCCTCTGGACTTTCTCCAGTAGGTTCGCTCCTCTTTTCAACTGTGGTGGAGCGAAGACGTTATGGACCTCTAGATGAGGCCGTGCGTAAGTCTTGTAGAGCTGCAGAAAGAGTTCTGGGGTGAGAGCACCCAGTTGTCTACGCACAGGGTATACTAGACCATATGCTTTTGAGACATCACCTGGGTAATTGGAACTGGTATCCGGTTTCTCCGTCACCGTCAAATCCAGGTCTTTTTCTACTGTGGTATGGTATAGACATGAACCACAGGGATAGTAGGATGTTTTCTGGGGCTCGGGAGTGCGGAAAAACATGGGCCGCACTTATCCAGGTTAAATGCTAGCTCGTTATTAGTCCCCCATTCCTCTAGTGTTCTGAGGTCCTTCTGTAATGCCGTAGATTCCGCCTCGCAAGTTATTTCCCTCCATAAGTTGACGTCACCAAAGTGCAGGAGAATCGGGGAGCTGATATGTTGTGGCAGGTCATTTACGAACAGTAGGAACAACAGTGGGCCCAAGATTGCTCCTTGTGAGACACCGGATGAGGATGTTCTCCAAGTTGAGTAGACCCTGTTGACTTTCGTGCAGGACGCCTTGTTGTCTAAGTAGTCCTGCAGCCACGATAGCACTTGGCTGCGAACACCCAACCCAGCTATCTTATGTATTACGATCGTGTATGAGACGGTGTCGAAGGCTTTGGCGAGGTCCGGAAAAATTGCGTGGACAGAGGATCTTGAGATCCCAGCATGCTGTCCAGTGACCATGGGCCGTCAGGAGGTTGGAGGCACAGGACCTACCTTTTCGGAAGCCGTGTTGAGCGTCACCGAGTGCTTGTTTTTTGTCCAGGTATTCCCTGATTCAGTCATCCATCACACTTTTCATAACTTTTGACACTACTGGTGGAGGTGCTATGGGTCTATAACAGTTGGGATTCTGCCTGCCCCTTTCTTTGAAGATGGGAGAAAGGATAGCCCATTTCCACTCTCTTGGAAGCTTTTGTTCGCCCAAGAAGTGTTGGAAGAGATTACAGAGTGGGCCACTTAGGGTACTTGCGCATTCTTTCAACACAGATAGGCGAACGTCGTCGCAGCCTGGGGGCTTTCCTGCGCTTAACTTTGATAGCTTGTCGAGAACAACAGCGCGAGTTATCGATATTTCGTGTGGCTCTTCAGCATCGGATAACGTTGGGGGCTGTTCGTGCAGTTGGTATGCACACTTTCTTGATGGAATGTTGAGCTGTGTGTCACATGTGGTGCTCAGCATTTCAGCAGTCTCCTGTCCAGACAGATTTTCTCCGTTCGCACCTTTTATGACGCATGCTTCCTGGCTTGTCGATTTTCCTTTTGCCGTGAATCGGTAAGGGCTTTTGGGGTCTACGTCAAGCCCCTTGGCGAGGTTGGACTGAAACGACCTCCTGTCTCCCTGCGCCCTGAGGTTGCTTCGATTCCGTAGAGTCATGTATGCGTCATGGTCGTCCTGTTCTCTGGGGAGTCTCCATGTGTGCCATGCCCTTCTCTTGGCTTTTAGAAGGCGCTCTGTGCCCCGTTTTAGCCACGAAGTTCGCTTTCTGATCGTTGTTGCTGCCAGGGGGAAGTTTTGCGAGATGGCCGCCTCGATGATATCTTTAACCAGTTGCCAGTGCTGGTCGATCAACAAGGAACACCAATCCGCTGGCCATGGAGCTCTTTATAGGCTTTTGTTCACACCTTCCTAATTAGCTTTGTTGTAACATAGGTAAGGGCAATGTCCCTCCCATGATAATTCTTCACTGATTGCCAGGTAGGACATCACCATAGCTTGACCGCTACTTCCAAGAGGGGTTTGTACCTGAACGTTTTTACTCAGAAGAGGATCACTGGTCAGCAGGAAATCCAGTTTAGATGGTCTACCATCTGACCCCCCAGCGGGTGTTGTCGCTGATGTTTTCCTGCAGTCCAGCCATTTGGATGGCATTTAGGAGGTTACAGTCGAACTTCCGGCTCGGGATCGTGCCACCTTGCTCTAGGCTGAAGGTTGGAGCCTTGAAGTCACCAGGTATTAAAATCTGGCCGTACCCTATAGTTGACACCGTGGATATTGCTTGAAGTAGTTTTTGGTTGTCTTCCAAGTTGCTATTAGGGGATCGATCGATTCCTACAACTAGGAACTTGGTGTGTTTGACCACGAAGTGGCACCAGATAGAGTCTGGGAGCTCTGTCAGTGCCGTGTCAATGGTTTGTTTACTTCTGAACCACTTGTTCACGTATATTTAGCGTATGGTTGAAAAAAAATGCAGAGTGGGTAATTTAGGGCACTCACACACCGTTTCAACACAGACGGGCCAATTTCGTGGCACCCTAGAGGTTTCCCCGCACTTAGCTCTGATAGCTTACCAAGAGCGACAGCAGGAGTTATCTGTAGTTCACGTAACTCTATGGAGCTGGATAACTTTGCGGAATGTTCAAGCTGTGGGTGTTCGTGATGGAATTTTGAGCTGCGAATGTAC